GACTGGTTGGACTGAGGGCAAACAACTATGCAGGTCATAAACTGCCAAGAAACATGCTGATTATTTTGGGACTCCAGCAATGGAAAAATAAGCAGAATCTTTTAAATAAAGCACATACATTCTATCTTATTTTACATCATATATCTGAATATCTGAGACCCAACACAATAAGTGTTATCAAGCTGATTTCTATCTTTGCTGTGCCAGCTCATAGCTCACTAGTCCAGTGTTCACTCAAAAAAAATCTTTGTGCCTTCCCCCCATTCTGATCCCTATGAATGGGTGGAGCTTCCTGTAAAAAGCACAAAGCCACTACACTGTCCTCCTTCAAATTCCTCCTTTTATACTCCCCTTTGCTGTGATGCCTACAAACCTCTCAACAACGATTAGGCATGTGGTATCTTGTGACTGCTTCTTACTGTACTAAACATAAATCATTTCACTATTGCCTGGTCCATCCCCGCCCCGTCCCCACACACAGCCTCCATGTTTGTTTTTCTCCATTTGTTGACTCTTTTTTATGCCTAAATTATAAGCTCCTTTAGGAGCTGGCACTATTATGTGTGTGCAATTTCCTGACCCTAAGGCACTACCACATTTCAAATAAATAGATAATATTAATAATAAATAATAAACTGATGAAGATGGGGGGGATGGAGCAAGCCATTGAAAGCAGAGATTTAGAACAATAATTGAGAGAAGGTAACTGCTTGCTTATTTTTACCCCAGTAACAGACGATTCTGTGCATGTTTCAGTTAATGGGAAGGTATAAACTCTGCAAGTCAGGTATTTGCTCTGACATGCTATGAAGCATACTACAGTACTGAAAGCCACAGTGGTGGTCCTTTCAAAAGAAACAAAACCCCAGAGAGTGGACATGTGAAATATAAAGGAACCTAGGATGCCAAAAAACTTCCTAATTATAAAAAAAGTTTAACTCTGGACTAGGCTTCCAAAGGAGGTTGTGCAGTCCCCATCATTGGAGGTTTTTAAGGACAGGTGAGACAGTCAGAGATGGTCCAGATATACTTGGTCCTGCCGCAGAGCACGAGCTGGATTGATGACCTCTTGATGTCCCTACATTTCTATGATTCTTTATACCTAAACCACACAGCATTTGTTCTATGCAGCTCACAAATCAATCCAAGGAACCTACATTGAGTAGGACAATGATGCTCCCAGGCATTTGGAACCAAAACAGTGAGAAATCTCTTCCTCATTCTTGGCAGGAGTTGAACTTCTCCATGTAGAGAGCTGCTGTGGCAGAGAAGCTTCCTTAGAAGGGAAAAGAACAAATCTTATTCTTTATTCTAAGGAAGCAGTATGGTTTTCAGGTGTCTGCAGCTGCCCCACCCGATCAGTGGCAAAAATTTACCTTGAAACCTCATATACGTGTTTTCAGACTGGGAGGGATCATTTAAAACCATAACCCGCTGTAGTTCATTTTCTAAAAAGCTATATTCATCTCTCAAAGGAATGGCAAGAAGGCTAAAAACAGATGATCACAAGATAAAGCAGAAGCTAAATAAATGCACATCATGGTTGCAGCAGATTTGTATCACTGTGCAATAATATTTTAATGCTGGTCGTTATATTTCCTAAAAAAAAGGGTATGCGTTTTTAGATTATCTCCAAAATTTATGAGCAGGTAGTGAGCATCTTTTTCTGGAAAAAGCAGCTCTAAAAAACCCAGGAAACATCAAGATTTCAGAGCTGGTCTTGATTATTCAAGAAGGTGGTAGGATGTCATGTGAGACTTGGGATGCAGTACTAGGCTTGATTCCTGAATCTTTGTCATGTATCTAATGTTGACTCTGACTACAAATATAAATACTAACACCGGGGGGGGGGGGGGGGGGGAGGCGGAAATCACACTACAAATGGAAGCTAGGTAATGCAAATAAGTCTTCAAAAGGACTTTTTAAAAAAATAAAATGTTCTAAATGGCAATGAACTTTGAGTTCAATTTTTATTCTTTCAACTACCTTAAGATGGCAAACAGTAAACACTTTGATAGAGTGAGAGGTTATCCAGTTTCTCTGTATGTTCTTTACGGGTCTCAACAACAGACTGAGATCTCCACTGTGAATGCTATACTGCCCCTATTGATCACAAGAAGATCCCGCAACAACTGTACCATGGGGGAGAAGGCAACTACTCCTAGGCCTGGTCTACACTAACCCCCCAAGTCGAAGTAAGGTACGCAACTTCAGCTACGTGAATAACGTAGCTGAAGTCGACATACCTTACTTCGAACTTACCGCGGTTCAGACGCGGTCCACACGGGGCAGGCAGGCTCCCCTGTCGACTCCGCGGTACTCCTCTCGTTGAGATGGAGTACCGCAGTCGACGGCGAGCACTTCCTGGTTCGATTTATCGCGTCCAGACCAGACGCGATAAATCGAACCCGGAAGTTCGATCCCCAGCCGCCAAACTAGCGGCTAAGTATAGACCAGCCCCTACACTTCTACTTCTATGGCCTGGTCTACACAGGGGCGGGGGGGACGGGATCAATCTAAGATACGCAACTTCAGCTACGAGAATAGCGTAGCTGAAGTTGACGTATCTTAGATTGACTTATAATCACTTACTTCACATCCTCGCGGCCACCGCTCCCCCGTCGACTCCGCTTCCGCCTCTCACCGTGGTGGAGTTCCGGAGTCGACGGCAGAGCGATTGGGGATCCATTTATTGTGTCTACACTAGATGCGATAAATCGATCCCCGATAGATCGATCACTACCCGCCGATCCGGCAGGTAGTGTAGACGTACCCTATAGCAATGAAAGGACATAGCCATCACAAAGTTTTGTTAAATCAGAACACTTTTCCCCCCCCACACAATGATGCCAATAGATTCATCTCTTAAAAGTGCTAATCTGCATGGTCAGCTAGTCTCAAAAGAATCTATCCACTGAGACTCCCTGTCCCATACACAGGAACCACCCGAGGCAACAACAGTATACTGAAAAAAAAATACCCTAAGAAAAATAATATTGTACTACTGATGTGGAACTCAGGGAGATGGGATGGGATCTCTTTGATGGCAGAGCAGGATCATCTAGCTGGTCTGGGAAGAGGCTGCAGCTACTACCATTCTGGTTTCTTACATAAAGGTCATCTCTCCAATAAAGTGTTTCAGTTTACCAGAGATTAAGCAAAAGAGACCTGTGGTTCTTAGGTTTTGGTTGTTCTGGTTGTACAGGATGAACAAGGAGAACAAAGGACAACCAAAATCTTCAAGGCACCATATTATAAGGGCCCAAGGGAGTTTTTTGATTTCCTAATTCAGCATCTCACTTTGTGAATTAAAGTAACAGAAAAGAGAATGAACTGATGCCACTGGGTAAGAACAGAAACAAAAAAAGAAGAGATCCGCAAAGACAAATGTGGGCGTTACTTTGAAAATGTTATTTATTCAATTCAATTCCTAGATAGCAGTTTTTTAAAAGAGTGGAGTTTCTCAAATGTAAATATATTCTCTCTTACTACCACTCTATTTGCTGCTGTTATAGCAGATACCAACATTTGCCATTCTTCCCCCCCCCCCCGCCCCTTCTTGGAAACTATTTTTAAACCTTAACACCTTTTACCCCAGTCTTTTGCCATTATTTTTGGACAACTCAAGTGAAACTCCAGCTTTCCCTTCCTTGCTTGGCAAATGGCACATGAATTATTCAGATGCCAAAGAACTAATATATTTACCTGAATGGTGGTTTTCCCATAATGAATTTACACTGCCCACCTTCCCCTCCTCAAGAATGATTGGTTAGAACGACACATTAATCCATTATTACATTGAATACTGGGACTGATCTGAGATTTCTCCATTTGGCAACATGTGGTCAAAAGTAGCAATGGGGATTTGTGCTCTTCCAATTGGCTCTCAGCTTCCTAGCACCTAGCGAATTGTACCTAAGAACTCTATTGGAGATTTGGAGCATCCCAGCTACTGACAAAAGGGCAGAAGAAAAGAGATTAAAGTAGGAAAGACATTAACCCAGGATAAAAGATCTAGGAGTAGGAAAAGGATAGGATAAAGAATGGAACTGGTTACGACTTTAGCTTAATCCAGATACATGTTTTCTACATGATATGAGGCCTCAGTGCCAGATCTGGCTCCCACGGATTTCGATGGAAGCAGGCCATTAGGATTACATACCTGATTTTCCTAGCATTGACAGGGTGAGGAAGAACCTCACTAATGAATACACTGAGTTCTTTCTGCAAGCCAAACATACTGTCTGGTTCCTAATGCTGATGGCTTTGTTATACATCATCAGTGTGGAGAGCTTGCTTTTGAGGTCACACAGAACTCAACAGAAAGAGTGAATTACTGTTCTAGCTACAGGTCCACTCACACAAAGGGACTACATTATAGTATATAAATTAGATTAGATGGAATGTGTCAGAGTTCCAGAAGAAAACTGCATCTGAGGAGCATTTAACAAAGAATTTATTAGAGACTATAAAATCCAAGCATGTGTAGGCCAGGTGCTTCTGCCGGGTAGATGCCAGACCAACCCTGCCATAAGAATGGGATTCAGTGAAGCAAATCTCCAAATATTTGCTATTTCTCCCACTTGGACAGCCTTGGGAAAATACCAAACACCAGTGCCTGATATAGTGTAATACTTGGGATCTCAGGATCCAGGTTAATACTGGGATATATACCAATATACAACATTTGTCAAGCTCTGTGAGGTCAAATACAGAGACTTTGATATGATCATTTTTGCTTATTGCCATTTCAAACTGCAACAACAAGATAAGGAAGACTACAGAAAATCCCCACAGCAAAAGTCAGCAGCTTTGAGTTGCCCAGTTACATCCAACTGCAGACAAAAATCAGACAGTCAGACAACACATTTTCAATAGAGGCAGCACCATTATATGATCTCAGTAGCATCGCTCCATTTTATCTGTCTTCAAAGTGCATTCTCAGTGCAAGTAGTATGATTGACTCTAAAGGGGCTTACTGCCCCCTAATGGATTTCATGCTAAGACCAGAACTCTTGTTTCAGTTCATACGCTGCAGGTTTGGTTGTTTTAAGTTCAGTTCTGCATAGCGGAACCGTGCTGTCCTGGCTCTGCCCCTCAACATCTATGTCCAATAGCATCCGCTCCTCTACAGGAATACCCACCTGGAAAGGAAGCAGAGCAGGAAGTCCTGGCCTCTCCTCTACGGTGCTGCTGCTACTAGCAAAGCAGGAGTCCAGATTGCTTGGGGTGTCGGTACTTGAACTGTTGGCAGAGGATTCACCCCTGGCTTGGCTGGGTGACACAAACCACCAGGGATCAAGCCGCTGCCGATTGGCTGAAGGGCGTGGCCTTGGCAAGAACTCCAAGGTCTTGGGTCTTTCCAGTGTGGAGTCCTGCTGTGCATTCCAGCGTCTTGGGGTTGGAGGAAAGACAAGGTTGGGGTCTGGCAGGCGAGGGACCTCATTTGGATCTTGGCTTGGGCTGGGAGTTTTTAATACACCTATCCAAAAAGAGACAGAAAGAGAGAGAAAAAAGACATCACTTAGATAGATACCTTAAATAGCTCCAACTTGACTTTAATGCCCAGATACACTAAAGGCATGTGCAAAAATAAGATAATATATCCAAAATTCAGAACCCCTCAGTTTTCATCTGAAACACTATATGTGAGGTAGACCACTGGGAGCTTGGGGGAGCTTTGACCCTTTCCCCCAGAAAATTTTGGTATTGCATTAATAAATATAGGAAACACTGAGTTGAGAATAGAAGTTCCAGTGTGGACAAATTATTAAAAGGGGACAAACATAGTTTTCCAAACAACAAAGAAGTCTATGCCCCTGTTGTATTGATTTGAGATAAGGGACTGGTCCACTGGCTCCTGGACTATTCTGGACACACTAGTGAGATACAGCTGCTCCAATGCTATATAATCAGATCACTTAAAGCTCGAGTAGGAAACCTTAATCTTGTCACTCAGTGGTTCTGGGATGCTTCACTCTATCATCTTAATGTTCATTTAATGTATTTTAATAGAATATACATAATAAGCATAATGTCTCATCATATGAATTTGTATATGGTGAAGAATTCCAAAGCAGAATTTATTGTTCAGTAAATGAAGTTTTAAGTTTTCACTAAAGCTATTTTAATGAGCATAAATGACTATGTTAACTTGTATCTCACTACAGACCCTGATACAATAGGCCATTGTCCTGGCAGGCTGCAGTTGTTCTAAGCAGCTACAGCCCCTTAGATCAGAGAACAATTCCAGTGTTTCTCCCCCCCGTAGCGGTAAGGAATTTGGGATGTTGTGGAGGCTCAGTCCCTGGTAAAGGTTTGGCGGCAGAGCACACCTTGTACTCCCCAACACGAACCCTCTTGCCAATGAACAAAAAGTGGCACCGGCTCAGTCCAGAAGGCCTCACGTCCATTTTTTTGTTGGCTTTCAGAATAGAAGTTGCCTTGAAAGCATAAGGGGAACTTAAGGAAGGGTAAAGCATGAAGGTGGAATCCTCAGGAACGAACAACGGAAGTGACATTATACTTGGATAATGCCTTCTGTCCAAGAAACTAATGTAGTAAGCCTCACAATACCCTTTGATGAGGAAAGAGAGAGAGAAAGGTTATGTGACTTGCCCAAAGTTGCACAGTGAATCAGTGGTGACACCAGGCCTAAACTGTTTAGAGCAGGGGTTCTCAAACTTCATTGCACCACAACTCCCTTCTGACAATCCCAGGAGGGGGAACCGAAGCCTGAGTCTGCTTGAGCTCTGCTGCCCCAGGTGGGGTAGGGGGGCCAAAGCCCCAGGGTTTCAGCCCTAGACAAGGGGCCTGTAACCTGAGCCCTGCCAGCCAGGGCCCCCTCAGATTTTGGCTTCAGCCCCAGGCAGTGGGGCTTGGGCTTTGGTTTCGGTTTCAGCACTGTGCCCGAGCAAGTCTAAGCCAGCCCTGGCGACCCCATTAAAGCAGGGTCATGACCCACTTTGGGGTCCCAACCCACAGTTTGAGAACCGCTGGATTAGAGTATTATTTTATTTATTAGTAGTATAAAGGTAATGCCTAGGAGCCTTTGCCACAGACCACTGTGCTAGGCGCTATATAAATACAGAGTATTCACTCTCTCAGTGAACAAAGGCACAAGAGGGAGGGATAGGAGAACCACTGCACTAACTGTCTGGCCTTCATTCTGAAGACTGAGAAAGAGAAGGAGGAGGAGAAACTTACCTGCGCCCAGTGCACCAGTTAAACAGTTACTGGAAGTGCACCCACTGGGAGAGCACCCATTGGCAACCAGTCCAGCCGCTTTGATGGCCCCATCAGAAGGGGTTCGCCTGTGCCTCCTTTGCTGGGCATGGGAAGAGAGAGTCACATGTGTGGGAGTCAGGGATTGGTTGGGGTCCTGCTTGAACCTCTCAATGCGTACATTGACCAGCGGGTTGGTAACTACTGTCAAGGGAGCCTTGACTGTCACAGGGCTGACGGGCATCTCATACACCACAATCTCATCACTGTCTGAGCGCAGCAGGGAACGGGTGGAGTTACATTCAGAAATGGAAGACAGGGAGAGGAGGGTCAGTGAGGTGGATGGCTCGCCCAGCAGCAACAGGGGGTCCTCTTTCTTGAAGAGCTTCCGGGAAGGTGGGCTGGTGCTTCTGCGTGGGCGCCCAGCCCGCTGGAAAATACTGTCGCGCTTCTTCTTCTCCTCCTTGGGTGGTTCCAGCTCATCCTGGATCAGCAACTGGCACTTGCCTACCTCCAACAGATCAAAGCCCAGGCCTGCAGCAGCCAGCACTGCTCCACAACCAAGCAAGGCAACCTCCCACCGCTTATGCTGGGAGCCACCCCGCTTAAGGCTATTGGTCGGGGTGAGCTGAGGGGTGCTTGTAGCAGAATTCATGGGGGTGGACTCCTCATTGGCATCACTGGGTGGGCCATCCAAGTCTCCGCTCTTCTGAAATGGGATGCAGAGGTACGATGGGGTGCGCCCAGGTGAAGGGTGCGCTTCGTCTCCATTAAAACACTCGCTGTCCTCATCCTCTGCAAAGCAAATGAAAAATACTTTGTGTTGGCATAACATTTTCACCAGAGAATCACAACATGCCTCACAAACATGAATGGATTAAGCTTCACAAAGCATGCAAAGGAGGAAATGCCTTCATCTAAGCACTAACTATTTAACCATAGTCAAATGTGAATAGGCTCTTCTGTCCAAGCTAGGCAATCCAAGACTGCACAAAAAGCTGGCCCTTGTGGATGTGAATCCAGCTCGCAAAGCTGGTGCAGGCTGGGAGCACTGAAAAGGTGCTGACCAAGAGTAGCATTTCTGAAAAGAGCTCCTCAGCCCTCCCAGCAGTAGATTTACACATAAGGACATGTTTAGAAAGGTAGGGAAGGAGACAAGAACCACTCCCACAGTACTTCCTGTAAGTGATCTATCCCTATATTGCAGCACCCAAATATCCTTTCCCAACAGCATTATTAACAAGAAAGATCACAAAGTTTCTAAGGAGTGCAGAGCTACCACAGAGGACAGAGAGCTGGACAGTGGTTTTGAGAGGTTTGGGGTAAGAACTGGTGAGCTGCAGAGTGTGGAGAGATGGGAAGGGAGTGAACACACAGAAAATCCAAAAGGCGAGATGAGAAAGAGGGCATTCCTTGTGGACATTAAGGTGAAATAGTGAGCCACCAAAGTGAAGACATTGGAGTAAGATGCCTTGGATGAAAAGAATTGCTTACGCAGGGATGTGTGCATGTGCGTGAAATAAAGTACGTGGTCTGCCCTTACCCATCTCTGCTAGGCTGGTGAATCCTGGCAAGGCAGGTGTAGTTCTCTGGACCTTCCTTAGGTTTGGAGCACTAGATGACCATTGTTTGTATCCATCTACCAGAGACTTCAGGCTGGAGGAGGAAAAGACAGGGAAAAAATATGTATTACACAAGACTAATATAACTGAGTTCAAAAAAAGAATTAAATAAGTTAATGAAGGATCGCTAATAGCCATTGATGAACCTAAGATAATCAGGGATGCAACCCCATGCTCTAGGCATCCCTGAACCTCTGACTGCTAGAACCTGAGACTGGGGATGGATCACTTGATGAATTGGTTCTGTTCACTCCCTCTGAAGCATCTGGCACTGATCACTGTCAGAAGACAGGCTACTAAGCTAGATGGACCATTGGTCTGACCCAGTATGGCCATTCTTATGATTCTTCTCCCCTACATTTCCAAATACTATTCTATTTAGGACTGCAAGCCTGGGCCAATTCATCTCCACATAGACAGAGCTAATGCCCTCCTGAAGTAAGACATTTTGAAACAATGACATGTTTCCACCACTAAAGAAAAAAAAATGAAAAAGCATCTCTCCTACTGTACTGACAGTGTGGCAAGTACAGGGATGTCTGCTGAGAGTCAATGATGTGTGGGGGTGCAGGACTTTACAAAATACCATTTTAGCAGAACATGCAGAGGCAATTATAGAAGATACAGAAACTAAGCAAAACTCAGTTCTTTTACCAAAATGTTGCAACTCCCATCTTAAGGCAGGTGCAACAATATATATCAAGCAAAGAAAATTAATTAATCTCCAAGAATATTTCAGCATAAAACAAAGCAATAATGAAAGCTGAAAATCACTGCAGGGAATGGGATGTGCCAAGGTCATGCCTTGTATATTTAACCCTTTCCAAAAAAACAATTTTAGAGCAACCAGTTAACAGTGATTATAGTCAAACGTGTAATACCAGTGCACCTTGGAATGACTATATTATAGACCCAACAGTCAATGCACCCATATACTGTATAATTGTATCATTCATTTTCTTCTAAATATGGGCCAGAACTAAAAGCTCTAATCCAAACTCAAACTTTAGGGGAGTTAGGATCTGCAGCCAAACTTTTTGTGGCCCAGATGGATCTTTATTTTCTATCCACACAAGCTTGTTACCATCACATTGTTTACTTCCTAGGGCCACTGTCAAGCCACTGAGAATGTTGGAACTTTCAGTGGTGCAACTTTTTGGCACATCAGCAAGGATATCAGCACCCATTAATTGTCTTGTACTATCTGGACTTGTAGATTTGAAATGACTCCCTTCAAACTTCTAAAGTTATACACGTCACAGCTTAGGTGAAAAGCTAAGACCCAGCTAAGAAAGTCAGAAGCTGAGAGAGAGGAGATCTAACCATGCCAGTAAGTCAAGGTCAGCAATCTCACTGTACTATGGATGTGTACAAATTAACTCAATGGGCTGGGAAAGAGCATGTTTAATGGTCAGAGAATGAGAATGCAGATCAGGAGATCTGGGTTATATTCCTAGCTGTGTTGTTAACTTGTGTGATCTTGGGGAAGTCACACAATTCTCCTGTGCTTGTTTCACAAATCTATAAAATGGGAATGATACTGACCTCCTTCCGGGGTTCTCATGAAGCTTAATTCATTACTGGAGGCACTCTGCACTTTTTAGTGCCTTTCACCTAGGATCTGGATCTCAAAGTATTATTATTACAGATTTCATTGTGGGAGTATGGATTTCCTTTACTCTCTAGTTAATTAAGGTGCTCCTGTAGTTCACTGGACAGAGGACTATCTTTTTGGAGCAAGATTGCAAAGTCTACACTTGATTTTGCACACGATCAGTTGGGTGATGACTGTTGTATTACCTTAGAACCACAAATATTTCCAATTTAGAGGCATAGTTTTAAATTACATTAAAAACATTCTGTTCTCATCGGTCTTGAGATGTTATCATTCTTCCACATTAATCACTCCCACTAGAGTGTGTGCAATATCCTGCCATGAGTTTGAATCCAGTCAGCGCAAAGTTGATCTTATGCCCCAATGGAAGGCGTCCATGTGACTTAGCAACAAGAGTGTGACTGATGGGGTGACCTACACAAGGACAAAATTCTATGTCATGATTTATTCATCCCAAGATGTGCTGTAACTATGTGATAAAACAACCTGGTAGCTTTAGTTATATTTAAGCATCCCATCTATATATACACCTGGATAAATAAACACAGAGAAGGAGACATTAAGGAATGGATAGATGGTGAATGCAAGCAAAAAGAAGAGGGAGCACTATGCTCACCCCAAGGGTAAATGCCAAGGTCTTTTATAAGGTATATAGACAATTAGTATGGAGTCTTTCTCCATGGAGTTGGAAGGGTATGTACTAGGTTCTCAATGTATACAGACAGTAAACAGCAAAACAGTGAATAATGCACAACTATTGTCAGTCTAGCCTTCACCTTCATCCTGATATCCCTGAAGATTACAGGGGTGTTCTGGGCTGCCCTTTGTGGCACAGCACGACACATCAACTTCTTCTGCTTCTCTATGCCTCCTTCTAGACACAGCTTCCTTCATAAAAAAGCAGAGGTCGAAGATTCATTGGCACTGAAAGTGAGCCTTACTTTGAATATGAAGACTAGGAGTGATCAGAATAATTCCAAGACTTTGCTGAAGTTGAGTAATTATTATTTTCACCTCATTCTTACATTCTTTTACCATTTCACTCCCATCCAAATTACAAACATTGCTACCCACAGTCCCTGCAGGCCTGACAAGGAGACTGCTGCACAACATACACGCCACTAGGGTGCGCTTGAAAGCAGTTCAATATATATATTCCACTTGCTAAAGCACATCACCTCTGGAACAGTACTAGTTGACAGCACTAGCAGCCAAACTACCTACTCCCCCCCCCCCCACCCATCCTGGCACCTTTTGCGCGGGGGTGGGGGGAAAATCTAGGTTTAGATTTTTTCAGTAGCCTATTTGGGTGGGAAAGTTGATAGGGTATTCATATATTTATGTTATGAGAAAGTAGTAACTACATTTGTCCTCCTCAGCCTCCCTTCCCACTAGAAAACCCATTATCCCTCTCCTTGGGAATTCCTACAAGCTCCTTCTTTAGCCTGTGAGTTGATTAGATCTCATTTGGTCAGTAAATTGCCAAACATGTAATGGGATCCTTAATAATGTCTCATCTGAAAGAGAGAGTCTCCAACAGTACACTGTCCTTTAAACACCATGCTGGGGCATTGGTACAGTCCTGACACAGGAAAGTGTGTCTGCTACTGAATTTCCAACACCACTTTTTGCAGGAAAAGGATTTTCTTTGAAAGTCCCTCATCTATGTATTGATCAGGTTATGTCCTGCTTGGCTTGCGAGATCTGAAAGGGATCACAGCTCAAGGGCCTATAGCTACCATAAATCCATAAATGTCACCTTCAGTCCAACAGAACATTAAAATCACACAAACACTAACAACCCAACTGCGGGTGTGAAAACCTGAAAGTGTCTATCCCTAGACAGAACAAAAATCTCCCATGTCACAACAGCAGGCTGAGGCCAGGTCACTATCAGCTGACTTGATGAGGTGGGGCTCAGAATTAGAAGACTAAGGGTTTCCATCAGACACCCTAAAGTAAATATCACAAACTCACAATGTAAATGTCATGACGCTGTTCCAAGTTATGTTCAGCCTTAATCAGTCCCTGCCAGTTCAGCATATCAGCCTGTTATCAGGTATGCATATCTCTGCAGTTCATAGACAAGCTTTAAAAGGATAAAAATAATCACTGTCATTTTTCAGTGACTGGCTTTATATAAACCTGAATTTAGAGTGCAGGTTTTTGTTTTTTTCCTTCCCCCAAGAGCTCTGGCTACCAGCCCCAGGTAGGTGGGGCTCGTGCAAAAGGAACATGCACACCCGGGAGGTGGGGATAAAAAGGACAGCCAGAGCCTCACCACCCAGGCTCAGGTTCTCCTTCCCCTTCCCTCAATCTCACAGGGAGGCAACCTGGGCTCTCCTTCTTCCCCCCAGCCAATCCCTCACCTGGAGGTGGCGGGGCTCCAGCTGTCAGCCCTGGGGTGGCAGCAGCAGCACAGAAGTAAGGGTGGCAATGAGGCACTAAGTCTGCTGTGAAAAGTGATATTGACAAATATCACTTTTCACATTGCCACCCTTACTTCTCTGCTGCTGCTGGCATGGCGCTGCCTTCAGAGCTGAGCACCAGTGAGCAGCTGATGCTCTCCGCTCTGCCTTCAGAGCTGGGTGGCGGTAAATGTATTTGTGTTGGGGGGGGGGAAGAGAGGGAGTCTAGCTTCAACTTCCAGCCATTGATATCTTTCACTGATAAATTGAAGAGCTCATTATCAAACATTTGATCACCATGTAAGTACTTATATGGTAATCAAGTCATCCCATAACCTTCTCTTTATTAAGCTAAAGAGATTGAGCTCCTTGAGTCCATCATTATAATACGGGTCTTTTAATCCTTTAATCATTCTCGTGGCTCTTCCCTGAACCCTCTACAATTTATCAACTTGTTACTGTGACTTGTTTTTTTTTTTAAATCCCTGTTGGAAAAGATATGGCAAAGGATAAAGGAGATAAGGATTCAAAGATGCCTTGGCAGAGAGCTATGTAGGCAACTGAAATGACAAGAATGTTGCTAGCCAGGATTAAAGAGCACTGGCACAGCTCTGTGGGAAAAGCTTCAAGGGAATTTTTCACCTATGTCTGGCACTTAAGTGAGTGAGCCTTAAAATTTACCTTTAACTAACCAAAAAGAAAATAAAAATGGGGAGTGTGCCTCAGAGTGACTGCAGCTTATTGCAGCTCTGTTTGCTTTAAAGAGCCTCTCAGTCTGGCATGATTTCAATGAGCAGCAAGGGTTCATCATATATTCACTTCATTGCCCATTCAGCAAAACAGTCACCATGTTCCAGATGCTGCTCTGTACAATGCTGTAACCTTACTGAGTTCCTCTGTAAGAGATGAGCAGTCAGTCACAGAGATAGCATCTCAGTTTTGCAGGGAACAGGATTAAGTTAATTTCAACCACTTTTAGCAAACTGGCAAATCCCATCCTCCTAGCTCCCTGTGCACAATAGATGCTTCACCCTTTCCAGCTGTTTTGCAGGGGAAGAAGTGGAAGAGAAGAAGAGGTTTTAGAATCATAGAATATCAAGGTTGGAAGAGACCTCAGGAGGTCATCTAGTCCAATCCCCTGCTCAAAGCAGGACCAACACCAACTAAATCAGAGTTCCAACTCTCTCAGGGTTCCAACAAAAGGCTTCTGGACTTCAAGGCAGAAGCATTTTTCTACCATCAACATTTTTTCCTCCACCTTTTAAATGTAATGCTGGTGAAAGACATGGGACTATGTGATAAATAAAGGAATTAATTCTCAAGAGTTATCTACAGAACAAATACAGCCTGAGCAGTGGCCATGCAAGCTCTCTCCACACTGCCCTGCTAATTTGCCTCAAAAGCCTGGGCTAGAAAGACCACCGTTTAAGGGAGATTGTAATTTAATTTCCATGGACCATTCAATCCTTGGCTTTTCTGCAGGGGGCAATCAATGCCAATTTTGGTGGGCAGGTTTGTTATATGGACACTTGTCTTCCAGGAATTTGGCAAACTAACAGACACCAGACTCATTTCAGATAGGCTACTGACCAGCTATCAGATTTTTTCCCCACTACAAATCTGGGCTGCGTCCAGACTAGCAACCTAGGGGTGAAAGGCTCTATATCCAAACTTCAAACCTAGGAGGCATCAAGTCACCTCAGATTTTTTAATCATATCATTAAAAATAAATACTAATCTTTTAAGCAGCATCACAAAAATGCTGAGGTTTGAATCCTGGTATACAGTCTTCACATAAGACTGGAACCACAGAGTAGAAATCAACAGCAGCAGACTTGGCACAACATCTCTACAAGTATACATATACTTTTTAAAAAGGCTGAAAAAATATCTACCTGGCTCCTCTAGTCCCAGCTTAATACTACTACACAAGAGAAGGAAAATATGTATTCAAAGGGTGTAAATATGAAGGATGGAGAAGAATATTTCAGGGTAGTCCAAAGGGGGTATAATTAGAAGCTGGAGGATATCGAGCTACAGAAAATTTAGACTAAATATCAGGAAAAGACAAACTACCCTGGACAAAGTACTGGAAAGCACACTGAAAAGAACACCGCTGCACTGGACCTCTGAGGATGGATTAGATGTGACTTTACCTGTTTCTTCTATCTCTAATGTCTGTGAGACAATGGATAAATAATTATTTCAGCTGAAAATTGTGGCAGATCTGCAGGACAGAGATGGAGTTTTACCAGGCAGCCCTTCTGAGAACCAAGTGCACATAAGCAGCTTTAAAGTTCAGAAAACTTTGGCCATTCACACTTCCCCCGGACCCAGTCCTATTTGTTCTTACCCATCTTCTCCTGCAGCTAACTCCTTATGACAAAGAGAACTTGGTCCCCAGGTACGCCCTTTCTTCTTCTGGCTTCTCTTCTCTTCCTCCTCTCCTTCCTCCTTCTGTAAGACTGAGTTGCATCCCCATGCTTTGCTGCTTTCGCCAGGTGTCACTATGGAAACCAATAAGGGGGGGGGGAGGAGAAAGGATGGGCACATAGGGCAGGAAAAACAAAAAATGCTGCCTGCACCTCTTGAGTGGCAATGTAGCACTCTTCAGCACTGGTGAAAAGAGAAGCAAGGCACAATGCTATAGACCCTGAAGGAAATGTATTAACACTACTTAACCAACCACCTGAAGAGTGTGAAGTGCTCACCAACATCAAACAATTTAGCCACACAACACCCACATGACACAGATAGATTTGTTTTAATCCTTATTTTAGAGATGGAGAAACTGGCACAGAGGTTAAGTAGCTTGCCTAGGGGTCACACAGGAAATCAGTGGCAAAGTAGGGAATAGAACACAAACCCAAAAGAGGTTTGGCAAAGGCAATGGCTGTGTAATCCTCCCTCATCATGCCTCAACTCTGAGCTGGAAAGAGCACCTGGAGAGGCCTTCAGAGCCTATTTAATCCTTGGATCCTCTTCTAAAACTGCCAACAAGAGAACAGAAATCCAACTCTCATGATGCTGAGACCCACACTAATCACTAGGCAACACTGCCTTCATATTGCCCCTGTAAGGTCTCCACTTCCTGGCTGCTTGTTATGACAGGGCCACATTCCCACACCAATTGCTTTCATTTTTCTTGAAATGTTTTTACCAAACAATTTCCATTCCTTTGCCACACACTTCTCTTTCAGCCTATCCAGCTGATCCACCTCAAAAATACATTCTGAACTTGCAAATATATTCCATACATTCAGTTATAGCAAACAGGCTGTATCCCCGAGAAATATACTTTCAATCAATCAGCAAGTGCCCAGAAACACAAACAAGTGAAGTTCAATTTCTGGGAGAAGGAACATTCCCCACCCTCACTCTCCACAGTTAGGCTTAATTCAGGAACGTTTATAATCCTTTCCTAAACAAGGCTCACAACACCCCACTGCAGCGCCTGCTAGACATATTATATTCTTCCCAAGTTCAATGTTATAGCAAGCTCCTTACACTGTATGGCCCTGAGTCTGGGAATGATGGTAGGACTTGCAGGAGGACTGGAACAACTACTGATCAAGCTTTTCCTTTTGTCCATGGTTGGAGATGCTTGTACAGTGAATTTGTGCTGGAAATCTGTTTAAAAAAAAAAAAATCACAATTAAAATACTCATTCATGAACCACAACAAAAAAAGATTATTAATTCTTTCTAGTACCTTTGCAGAATGGCACCAGTGTTTCAGTGCATCTTTGCAAGCACATAAACCCCCAATTTGCACACACACCTAACGCAGCCTGAAGATTAGCGCTTTGCATCTGGACATACAACTGCAAAGGACGCATATAAATGTGTCTAGTGGGGGACTGACATTCCTACCCATATGTACCTGCATAATTTTTCAGGTAAAATCCTTTTCATCTCATTTCCCAAAGAGACTTATGGGGCAAGCAAAAATTCATGAAACAAATGTTTACCATCTTATTAAAGATGGTTATTATTAAAAATATAGTCTACCACCATCACTCTCCCCAACTCTCAGTCTCCCTTCGGAGACAGAGTTAACAGTGCAGTACATGTTAAGAACCATCTATAACAAGGCTGCCGACTCTGGGTGAATTATATAATCAAACACATGCAGCTTTCTGTTTCTCGCCAGTTTGGAACTCCCCAAGCAATTTGCACATTCAGTACTCACTCTTATCACAATGGACTCACTACTCAATTGACAGCCATCCTCATTCTCCCACCCACTTCCCCAACTGTTGACCAACCAAGTGACATTTTCCATCCAGTCTTGAGGGAATAAAGCAGCAGTTTAATTCTGTATTTATGTGCTAAATAGTAGTGTTAAGAAGTTGAGTGCTGTAGTCCTCATAATCTTCCCTTAGCTACCCAACATGACTCTCAGAGTCCCAAGGTCATTTCCCACACCAGCAGTGCAATGGGCTATGGTTGCTGTTCTGATATCAAATATACCCATATCAGTTTTATTTAACAATAAGACGACCCCAGAGTAGACACTTCCACCATTTTCAGGTACTGCCTTCAATGAAAGTGGGCATTTGGGGTATTGTTGAACTAAATGTTGCATTGGTAGTTAAAATTAATATTTTGCTTTAAAGTGAACTTCCTGATACCAGCTGCAGACTAGTGATGTGTGCTATAAACACTCAAACATTCAACAATCCTCTTTAACCACATCCTTACCCTTTGGACAATGTTAGTCATAGTGCATCCTATTGTTACCATTTCCTGTGTTTTTCCCTATAACCACTGACCTTTAATTTCTTGATGCCAAAGAGGTTGGGATTTCTTAAGGCACATCTTGTGACCATCCAATGGGCCTTTCTATGATTGCAGGCACAAAGGAGCTACATTTAACAGAAACTCCTTTGGCACAAGAGGACCCTTCTACCACCCGGCACTACAGCATCACTGACCTGAAGGGAGGCTGATGCGATTGCCATCTTTCAACTTAAGACGGTTCTTCTTGAACTTGCCTATACGCTTCTTCACCCGAGGCTTCTCCTGGCACAGCTGGTGGATGATGATGTTGAGCTCCCTTTCTAGGATGTCAATCTCACGCTCCGCCAACTCCTGCTCCCGCCGCCGCAGCAGCTCCTCATGGTTCTTCTGCTGGAGTGCAGCACGGGTCAGCTCCTCCTCCCACGTGCGCAGCTCCTGCAGGGAGGAAAGAGAGAATTCCGTTTATATCCATTTGTTCTGATGCTAACATTGTCCCTTAACTTCAATAACTCCTCTCTCTCTTGTGTTTATCCCTCTAATGTATATTAACGGAACTGGCACATGAAATTGCCAGTCCTATAGCAAAGGATTTTTAATGAATCCATAAACTCAGGGGATGTAAACTATGCCTGGAATATTGCTAATATAGCACCTATTTTTAAGAAAGGAAACCACAGGCCCATTAGTTTGACCTCAATTTTATGCAAGGTATTGGAACAAATTTTTAAAAACAAAGTAGTTAAGGACAGAGGTAAATGGTAACTGGGATAAAATACAACATTGTTTTACAAAAGGTAGATTGTGACAGACCAACATGATCTCTTTCTTTGAGAAGATCACCAATTTTCTAGACGAAAGAAATGCAGTAGATCTAATTCCACATGCTGGGCTCCTGCTTCCCCCCACCCATTCCTGTATCCCCTTCTGTTCCCCATCCCTTCCTCTCCATGCCTCCCTCCTCCCAACAGGCACTCATGGTTGTAGAGGAAACAGGCTGGCACTAGGACCCAGGAGGTGGCGTTCAGCTGCTGAGGCAAGACCCAGAGCGCAGGGAAAAGCCGCTCTGTCCTGTTCTGTCCACTCACCATGAGCCAAAACATGCCAGTGAGCAGGGTCAGGGCGCATTTTTCCCAGAGTCCCCCAATTGGTCGGGGGCCTGGGGCCTGTCAGCCCAGTGGCTAATCTGCCACTGTGGAGGAGGACCGGAATATCCTACAAGATTACCTTGAAAACTGGAATAATAGAAATGGGATGAAATTTAATAGTGCAGAGTGCAAGGGCATGCCTTTAGGGACTAACTGCAAGAAATTTTACTATAAGCAGGGAATGTATCAGTTGGAAGTGACAGAGGAAGAGAAAGACCTGGGTCTACTGGTCGATCACAAGAGGACTATGAGTCACCAATGTGATGTGGCTGTGAAAAAGGCTAATGCAATCCTAGGATGCAGCAGGCGAGGTATTTCCAATAGGGACAGGGAAGTGATAGTATCATTATACAAAACACTGGTGAGACATCATCTGGAATACTGTTTACACAGTTCTAGTCTCTCACGGTTGAGACAGATGAATTCAAACTGGAACTGGTGCAGAGAAGCGCTACTAGGATGATCAGAGGAATGGAAAACCTATCTTATGAGAGGAGACTCAAGGAGCTTGGTTTGTTTAGCCTAACAAAACAAAGGCTGAGGGGAGATATGGTTGCTCACTACAGATACATTAGAGAGATAAACACAAGAGAGAGAGGAGTTCAACTGGTTTCAAGACTGAGGTCGGTAAGTTTGTGGAGGGGATGGTATGATGAGATAGGCCACATGCCATCATAGACAATCTGCAACTTCTAGAAGTAAGTATCTCCAATGGCCAGAGATGAGACAATAGATAGGGAGAGCTCTGAATTACTACAGTAAATTATTTCCCAGATATCTGGTTGATGGGTCTCGCTGATACATTCAGGGTCTAACTGACTGCCGTATTTGAGGTTGGGAAGGAATTTTCCCCCAGGTCAGGTAGGCAAAAAATCCCCACGGTCTCTGCCATTCTCTGAAGCATGGGGCTTGGGTCACTCTCTATTTGAATTAGAGTAAATGGTGAATTCTCTGTAACGAAGTCTTTAAATCATTATTTGAGGACTTCAGTAACTTATCTGAGATTATGGGTTTATTGCAGGAGTGGGTGAGTGAGGTTCTGCGGCTTATGACGTGCAGGATATCAGACTAGATGATCACCATGGTCTCTTCTGGTCTTAAAGACTGAGTCTATGAGCTCTAACACAAATCTACACAACAACATTCTCAAGAGAGATGAAGTAAGGTTTATTTGTTTCCTTTCAAATGTTCATTATATAGAGGTCATTCCTATCAACTCATGCTAGGGTGCAGCATCCCTGTGAATATGGAGGTCTTTAAAGTTAACTTTTCACCTTGCCCTTTGTTGATGAAACGGATCAACTGGAATTAATTGTTCCTGAGATCTCCAAATCCTTTGCTCTCCCCATCAAATTCCTTCCTTCTCACCACAAGGACAAAAGGTTTCAGAAAAATCACAGAATAATTATCTCCAGTTGGTCAATTTCACTGCAGAGGTAAAAGTTGAAGAGTTCAAGTTTAATTCCTTTTGGTTTGGAAGCATCCTGTTAAATTGTATGGATTTTTAAACTGATTCTCTCTCTCTCTCTCTTTCCTTTTCTTCTTTTTTTTGTAACCTCATTGTTATCTGTAATACCATCCTACAAGCTTGATAATAAGCTTTATTTAAAAAACAAACACTAGTTGTCAAAGTAAGTATTCTTCAAAATGTCCTTTTTTGAATGCTATAGAGGATTCATATTTTTACTTCTATAATAGTAGCACCAGAAGCTCCAATCAGGATTGGGGCCCCCCACAGTGCTATGCACTGTACAAACAGATAGTTCCTGCTCTGAAAAATTTATCAATTTAAGAAAAACTAAACATTTAAATAATTTTAAAATTTAATTCTCATAACTGATGGTTTTGTTTACTGTTTCATTTTCTGCCTCTAAAGCACTAACATAATGCTGTTGTACCACATGTACCAAAGGACACCACCACCAGAGGGAAGTGTTTATATGCAAAAAAAAAGTTCATGTAATTTAAAAAAAAAGTTCTGAACACATTTCTATTCACAGTAAGGGTTTTTTGGTTTTTTTTGCTTGTTTGTTGTTTTGTGTTTTTTAAAGAGCCCTTTCTCCCTCAACCCCTAAATTAACATTTGAGTCTAAAGCAAATTGACCTTTAAGTGACAATTTCATTATAGATAAGCTCATTGTTCCCTTAACCTTGGTTAGGCATATATCCACCAGCCCAACTGGTGGACCTATTAAGTCATTCCATTGTAATACACTGATGGGGACTTCCTCCTCTCTTCTTATACTGACCATAGTAAGCAGATGTTTTACAAGGGCAGTAAAGGAGCTGCTGCAGTTTATGTTCACTTTTCTGACAGTACACGAGAACTCCACCTCCATTCACTGAGCAGCCTTTATTTTTGGTGGCGGACATTGCCCATCCCCTTGTCCTTACTATCCTCCAATGCTGTCTCCACTTAGTCTGCTGCCACACTCAATCACCCAGTGTTTCTCTTACACTTACTAGACAGCTCAATGCCACTATTGGGAAGGGGAAGGAGGAAAAGGGAAGGCAAAGGGACCTGCTGGTGTCTTCCAGGAAAACAGAGAAAACAGGGTAGGGAGTAGCTGGGTGACAGATGCTTCAGTGGCTCCAGTGACTATTTGCAGCAGAGACCATAAAGAAAAGTATAGGAAAGGCAGATAGCTTTTTAGCGAGCCAGCCACCAGCTGTGTTTCTTTTTCCTCTTGCCCTGCATCAGTTCCAGACACTTGGAGAACTCCTGCTATGGGGAGGGGGCAAATCAGGGTACAACACCTCTGTCTACTTGAACTTCTCTTCTCGCTGATCCATCCTCTGAGGCTATTTCCATTTTGTCTTTACTGTTGCTCTTGCCTATTGGCAATCCCTACAGTCTAGAGCCTGGGGAGGACAGAGATTAGAGGCTCCATGTGTGTCACAATCTGGTTACTGATACTGCAGGCCATGTGGTGCAGCCCAAATCCAATACATTTTAAGTGTTCATGTGTATTTGACACCTAGAACAGCACTGCAAAATTTAGTGCCATATCAACTAAATCAGTCAAGTGGGAAACTCATATGATTTGTGAAAGAAAGAGGTCAATACCATTACTAGCATGATTATATCAAGAGACCCCTAAAAATACAGGCATACTGACATTTTTAAAAGCTTCCCGAGTACATGATGAGCTGAGGTAATTCCCTACAAAGAGTCAAATTGGGTTGGCAGATGTACCTTGTGATCCAGTATCTGAAATATAATTTTTTAAAAAAAATGTAAGTCTCTAGCCCTTGTGGTTGTGACCAAAACCTTGAAAAGATGACCATTGTGTAACCAATACTGATGTTTGCTTGAATTTGCAGGCAGCCCGAAAAAACAGCTCTGAGAATGTGAGCTGCCTCTTCCATATTATTTGGGTGTTGACATATAAGCCTAATGATAATGTATTTGTCACGATTGTTAACAATTTCGCTGCCAGGTGACACATGGAAAAATGGAGAGGAACTATCATATTATGGAAAATCTTCAATATTTGTGACTGGAGTCTCATTTTGATGTCACAAGCGGGCAGAGTTTAGGTGTGGACACAGCATGGAAGAGTACTACAACCTAATTTGTTCCCATTCCAACCCCTTTATGTACATATTAAAAATGCCAGTAAAAGAAACTAACACACAAAGATACCACCTGTTTAGGCTGTGAAACTAGACAAGATCACAGTCCAAGATAACATGAGAGTGGAATGTTTTTCCCTTTTTACCTTTTCTTTGGCTCTAAGCTGATCAAACATCTCCTGGATCTCATGCTTCCAGTCTTCCTGCAAGGAGTGGAAGGAATCTTTGGGCATTTCAAAGAAGCCAGACTCCTCTATGGTAGTGAGTTGGTCTAGTATACTGCCGAAAGATGGTCGTGAGTGTGGGTCAGAATTCCAACAGTCTAAAACAGGACAAAGGCAAGCAAGTTGTTAAACATTAGAATAAGTAGGTTAGAGACTAAGCAGGTGGCAAGTTGTGTTTACTCCTTCTGACTGGCTAAGAATCGTGCACTATCGCATTTTTGTTAGCCTGCCTCTCCCATCCCCCAACCTCATCCTCATGTCTTCTCTTGTAGACTAAGCTCTTTGGGGCAGGGACTGTCATTTTAAATATGTCCTGATTTGGTGGCTTCTAAATGCTACTGAAATATAGATGTTAAATACATAAAATAGTTAGAGACTGACTCAATTTATAGATAACTACACTACCAAGCTTGTTAAAAACCACACAGCATAAATATTTCACCCAAATACTTTGCTTTAAACTCTAATTGGTTATGGAGCAGAGACTGATTTTGCTGTCAGAGCATAGTGAAGCAAGGGTTAGTATAAGCTTCTTCTGCACTTCACTGGAGAGTTAATTTGGGTGAATGGTACTTAAGTTAGCCTAGAGTGGGTGTGAGCAGCCACAATACAAAGCCATACCCAAGTTACTGTGTCCTCATTGGTGCTGTGCTCCCCCATGTGTGCTGCTAGGACTTCTGTGAGCATGTCTCATAGCTCTTTGTGCTGCAGTTAGCAGAGCCACTCTATAGATTCTTTTCCAGTGAATTGTAGAAGAACTCATCTGTCCTCCTGCACACAGAAGGAATTGTGAGAAGGCTTGAAGGACTATCAGCACTCCTGTGATTTAGCCTGCAACCTCACTGCAAAGTGGGCAGGTTATCTGTCTGAGTGAAAGCAAAGCTGGGCTCTAACCCATACTCCCAACTATGCCAGCTAGTTGAGGTAAAAAGAACCACTTAACTCAGGTAAGAGGGCTGATTGTGTGGATGAAAGGGAGGTGAGGGGCAACAACTGAGTAAGAACCTGAGCTAACTTTGCAGTGAAGGTATATCCTATCCTATATATCTTCAATTCTGATCTGCAATATACCTTGCTATTCTAGTCCCAGGCAGACACCCAGTTGTGTGGTATGTGTTTGTTTTAGATGAGCAAAGAACAAGTAACTTTTTCCACTTAATCTAAACCAGATTTGAGCTGCTACGTTTCAAAAAGTGAACTCAAAATGCAGTAAATTATTCTATTATATAGCTCCCAAAATACAGAATTTAAGGCATCATCTTACCACAACATGTACAATTCTTAGCCGCTCCAAACAGGCAACAGTATATAAAAGGTGCTCAGGTACTATAGCAATGTGGGCCAGAGATATTAAATAGAGAATGGTGTATAATAAAATCCCAAACTCTTAAATTATCAAGCTCCTGCTTTTAAAAATACCATCATGTTAAGTGGATGATCTGAAACTCTCATGACCAGGAAAATCCCAATCATTCAATCCCCTCACCTCAAATGTAGGCCCCCTTCCTCAGCAAATGTCAGTTTTTCATTCTACAGTTTGTCTCCTAGTGCAGTCTTCATAGATTCCTGCCCGAGTGATACACTTATTCCCTTTAATGCTAGACAACTCCTGCATGCCAAGCCCCAACAGGAATTCAGATAGGAAAGGCCTATCACATGACCATAGTCCCAGAGGTGGCAGAGTAGAACAACCTCAACCCCACAGTTGCAGATACACATGCTGTAATGCAGAGGGCCTTCCCAATGTGTAAATGTAACCATCCCTTCTAACCAATACCTGGAGGGGCTGAAGCACAGGCTTCCCACATGGCCAAGGGAAGTTGTGCAAATTGTGCAAGAAAGTGCAATATTGCTTGCTTTTTTGAAGGAGAAAAAAAAAAGGAAGTTTAGAACATTCTAAGAACATTAATATTCTACTGATGCTTTATAATTTTAAAATTGCCATTTAGATTAGAGGACATCATGAGCCAAATTCATCCCTGCAATAATTCTATTAATTTAACACAGTTGCACCAGGGATTATTCTGAACTCCTATTTCTTATCCCTTTTGACTCTGCTGGGATTCTGATTTTGCATTTTTTTTTTTATTTTGGAATTATTGCAATTCTCCATTTGGGAATTTTGATACTGAGATTTTGTGCATCAGGATGCTGTTCTTTAGGCATCTGGTTGGGTCCCAAAAGCAACACAGGAATGAACATTTTCATGGCTCACAAGATGCTTCTTATATCTATGTGCAGAACCAGGGACATCCAAAACTGCTTTGTAGCCTCCCTGCTGCTGACCAATTAGTGATGATGGGCGATACAGAAAAATTGTCAGGGGCATAATCCCTGCCCCTCTATCCCAGTTTTTAAGCATGGCAAAGCAAACATGACCCAGTGTAAAACAAAGTGCTACAGCCAGCCAAGTGCATGAGTGAGTGAGCTTGATAACTATGCAGGTGGTCCATGGCTTTTATTTTCCCAGGCATAGAGCTGCCATTATCTGCACTAATGAGGACAGCTGTAACTTACGAATCTTTTCTGAAGAGGGCAAGTTCATGTTTGTCATCTCAGTAAAGACCACCAGAGCAGTAATTCAAAAGCAAAATCAGCATTAGGGGAACCAGAGTTCACCAGGAAGGGAAATGGTGTTTTTGACAAACAATTTTGACAAAGAGTGAGGAAAGTGATTGTTTTCTTATTCCCTTCCAGTTGTTCTCCCTGGATATCATGAAGCTAAATGTTCAAAAGTGGAAGTGGTGGTTGCTCTATGGTATTGGGTTGAAATATAGGGCATACAACTTTATTTCACACCCTCCAATATTTTCCACCCCACCAACACCCACGTTTGATTTTAAGAAACTCTGACCCCCTTCTCCTAAGAAACACGGTCAGTAGAAAATGCACTGAAACGATGACTGCTCCATGTTGTCATAAGCTCTTTTAGACTGAGCTTGCTGCACTGGATTCTTTGTGCTGTACTTAAATTCACTGGCATACAATTGGATTCCCATTGTTCCCATAGCATGTCCTGTGTATCTGACATGGGGAATCTCAATGAACAAGTTACATTGTTTCCATCCTCAGTGGCTACTATACTTTCAAGTGTTCATTTACAGTAATTTCTTGGTAACCACATCCACCTGACAAATTGCTCCCAATTTCGTAACCAGACTGTCACGTAAGGTCATAGTTGTAGTAATGCAGATGTATGTACTGTATCTGCAATTCTATTGTTTGTAATCCTATGGCTCATTGTTTTAGCAAAACATTATGCAGAATTCTAGATTTTTAATTGAACTGTTTGTAATCTGTATCCAAGGACAGAGAAAGAAAAGTATTCCAGAAGCAGACAAACCTCCCAGTGACACCTACTTAAGTCAAAGGCAAGTCTAACCCACTAGCAGGGGGAGTCAGATAAGCTGGGTTTATTTCCAGCCCTGCCACTAACTCATTGGGTGACACTTAACAAGTCACTTCACCTCTCTATGTCTCCGTTTTCCCCATCTGTAAAGTGGAGGTAATACTACCAGACTCACAGGAGGTTGTGAGGTTTGATTCTTTAATGGCTGTAAAGCGCTATGAGAGCCTCAGCTATAAGGCACAAAATAGAAGTTCTAAGCATTCTTTTAGAATTCTATATACATATTTTGATAAAAATTAAGAATTGGATTGAGTGGATGGCTCAGGGGACATTTGCAGAGTTAAAATAGCCAGAGAACCCATCTGGGCCATCACCTGAATTGCACCCTACAAAAGACTATTCCTTCCTTTGGTACTATATTCATACTATAACTCACCTCTGGAAACTGATTTTTTTTTTTTTTTTAAACAAGCCTTCAACCACCTGGGGCTTTTCAGCATGTCAAAGTCATGATTAAATCCCCCACAATTTGAGTATGACATTACCAGATTGATGGGGATACAGATGATGTTTAGCACTAGTACTATACAGAACTTTACATTTTGAGAATACTATATACACGTTAAGCTTCACAACCCTCCTTTTCCTTTGTGAGATAAGTGACTCATCAAAAGTCACATACCAGGCCCATTTCACCACCAGTGTACTGCAAGTAGCATTCATTTCAATACTGCAAGCAGATACTATTCCATTGATTACAAAAATACATTAATGTGGCCCACCAAGTCAATGGCACAGCAGGAATAGAATTCTGATCCCCAGCCAAGAGTTCAATTCACTAGACCAGTGGTCCCCAAACTTTTTACCTCGCGCCCCCCTTGCCCCATCTGTGCCCCCTCCCCCTGAGCTGGTAGTGGGGCTGAGGCTCCGGGAGGGGGGACACAGACAGGGGCAAGGGGACAGAGGCTGGGGCCACAGCTGGAGTCGGGAGCGGATCCTCGGCCAGGGCCTGAGGCCTGCAGCTGCAGCTAGGCGCAGAGTCCCGGAACCTTGAGCACGGGGCTGGCAGCCACAGCCGATCCCCAGGCGCGGGGCCAGGGAGGCACTCCCTCCCCACCCCCTGTGGGGGTTGGTGAGGGACCCAGCTGTGCCCCCCCAAATGTTACTCTGCACTCCTCTAGGGGGCACACCCCATAGATTGAAGACCTCTGCACTAGATCATTCTGATTATATATAATAGTGATAATAGTATTAGCTATCAATAGGCTCAAGCTGCAAAATTCAGAAGTAGACTTAGATTTCAAATACTCCAAATGTGGTGGTATTTGGATCTGGGGGTTTGGTGTAAGCTCATCACCCACAATCAAGACTGCAAGATGACAAGAACATCCCCTTCCCCTCTTCACAAAGGCTTTTATTTCTGCAGCCTAGAGGTCTTATGATACAGTAACTGTCATCGCAGACTTAGTATGGCTTCTGTAATAACATGGTCCACTGAGTAAAACCATCTAATTCTGTGGTCTGAGCTACTGAAACCTACAGAAACAGGCACTCATGGAAAGCACTCAAGAAAAATATATAAACACTATCTCTCCCACTACAATTGGCTCTTACCTTCCATGAGTTTGGCAAAAGGTTCTGGACATGTGGATGGGATCGGAAGGGCAAGTTTATTCATGGCAACTCCGTATGCTACTGCTAGACCATCAATTCCTCGGAATGGTACCTCCCCAGTTAGCAGTTCCCAAAGCAGCACACCATAACTATTGGGAGAGAGACAGAAAGTGTGTGTTCGGCTATAACAAACACTTTAATAAACCTCAAGCAAAAACAGGGCATAAGACTCTCTTATTTATCACGACTGCCTCACATATAAAGGATACTAAATAAATACGACATTTACAAACAAACAAAAATTAAATGGACTAGTACGTCTGTACACAGACCACCTGCTTTTGTGGGATGTTTGGCCAGTATTAATCTGTGCAGCTCCCTCTTCCTGAATTTAGTTGTCCTGTTTTGGCAAACTCCCTTTCCCTGAGGATGTGACAGGGCTCCTGATTTGTCAAAGTTACAGAAGCACAGTCAATATAGCAACAATTAGGGTTTTACTCTTTTTAAATGAACAGTTTACCATTTTCATTTTGAGCAGTAAATACTCTTAAGAAACCTTTGCACAATTTTTTTTAATTCTACCATCTAAACTCTCTAAAAATAGAGCATGTAGCAAAATAGTCTATGTGGATCTGTACAGAGACTGGAATTTTTTTCTTTAGACAGAATTTAGTCTTCCAAATATTTTCATTGTGCTCATTACTGTAGTTTTCAAGTACCTTCAATTCTAAATCACACTTTGATGGATTTCTGTACCTCTCCATCCCCCAAAAAGATAGCTTTTATATGCTTGTATTGATTTGGGATGGCTAGGTCAAGAAGTGGCTATGCTTTACTTTTTGCTCTGAAGGCAGAGCGATTTGTCGTCTCTCTGATCATTCTGGTTCACAAGCCTGTAGAAGTAATTTCTGTGGCAATTTAAAGACATGGACTGATCTATGATTAAATGTTGTGCTCCAGAAATAAATATTTTGTTATACCACTCCTGCAAAATACTTGAGTACTGATTATTTGGGGGATGTGTGGGAGGGATGCCAGCTCTTTCCTATAATACTCTACTGAACCTTAAAGAAGGATGTGTAGTGACAATCCACCCAACAGCCTAACGGGGTGGGGGGGTGGGGGGGGGTAATAAGCCTGCCAAATTATATTTTTGCATAAATTTCATATAACTGTATACACTCAGGTACAAAACTTCAGAACCAGATGCCACTCCATTTTAAAGGTTATGCTGTTACAAAAGTGCAACATGGAGAGCTGATTGTGTTTATGGGGAGCAGAGGGCTAACTAGATGTCATGTATATATAAATCTAAAAATAAATATGTACATTGACAAGCCATACTTTAAGTATTAGTCCTATTCTCTTTTTCATGACAATGAGCCCCAAGAAATGGGAAGGAGGAATGCTTATTAGTACTACCCTAGTTTAAGGATTTCATTAACTCTGAAAATGTCAATAAGAAATGCAGAAAGTCAAGCAGTTTTCAACAATACTGTGTTCTTAGACACCAGTAATGACATCTTAAGGACTTAGACTTGAGTCTGGAATTTTAAAAAAGCCATTACATAGAATATCAGGGTTGGAAGGGACCTCAGGAAGTCATCTAGTCCAACCCCCTGCTCAAAGCCCCAGAGAGATTTTTGCCCCAAAACCCTAAATGGCCCCCTCAAGGATTGAACTCACAACCCGGGGTTTAGCAGACCAATGCTCAAACCACTGAGCTATCCCTCCCCCCGTAATAAATTATGATTTATTCCTTCTAAGGAGTGTTTGCTTTCTGACAAAAATTCTAGCATAGTCCCTAGTAGTCAGCCTAACAAATTTCAGAGTGCAATGTGGATAGCTCAGAAATGTGAGGTGTTTTTCAGAAAAGGGGAGAAAAATATTTGCTTCGAATTAAGTCTTGTGAGAGTCTGGGTAATCTACATCTGGATCATTTAAATGATGAGAGAAGTTAGGGAAACAGAAGATGAGGACTTTAAAAACACTATAGTGTCCTGCCTGTTTTGTTGTTGCTAAATACAAATTATTTTCTGATTTCCTATTAAATCCCTCTGCAATGAACCTTGAGACAGGTATCGGGGGGGAGGGGGGAGAGAAAGTAGGGCTAGTAGCAGAAAAGGGAAATATGGCAGTGGAAAGGGGAAAAAATAGACTTGGCAGGTCTGTTGGGGTGCGATGGAGTGTTCCATCACACACCCAAGTGGAAGGGGTTAATGGAGGCCTTGGGGGCCTGCCACACCCCCTCCCAGAAAGAAGCAGGGGAGGTGAGTCCTCCTAGCAGGCTAGGGAAGCTGCATGGAGCAGCCAACCAGGGCCCAGAGAGCTAGTATCAAAAGAATACAGGGCAAAGGAGAGCGAGTTGCTGCGAGGAGCCTAAGGAGTGAGAACTGTGCAGGCTGCAGCAAAGGTAGCACCTTGGACAGAACAGTTGCTGGCAGGGACCAGGGGAACAAGGAGCTTCTTCTGGCTGGTTGCTGGGACTTGCTGGCTGAATGCCCTGAGAAGAGGGAAAAGAAGGTGCTGGGGCCACCGGGAAGTGGCTCAGTGAATTGAAGCACCATTGAAGGAAGTTAAGGAGACACAGCAGGAGGCTGCTATCTGCAGGGTCCCTGCGTCAGGACCCAGATTATTGGATGGGTCCAGGTCCCCCCATTCACCACTGGGGAAATGGCTTGACTACTGAACAGTAGTACCCATCCTGGAAGTGGGAAATACAGATGGTAACTCGGCCAGAGGGCCGAGTCATGAAGAGGACTTGGACTGAGGCAGGTTTGCAGGCAGAGAAGATGATGGGAGAGGCATCACCTGGAGAGGGCGCACTGCCTGGCAGAACTAATCCCCATGATGGTCAGCAGGAGGCACCACTGTAGTGAGTGGACCTCATCACTCTGAAAAATCTGACTTACCAACAGCTGTACTGGGTTTTGAACATTAACCATCATCTATGATGTTATCGCAAGAAAGAGTACTCCCATAAGAGGCACTTCTGCCAGCAGTGGTGACATATCAGCTAACCAGTGTTTGATACAGCAACTTTATTTATGGAAGTTCAGTTTTTAGAGGTTTTTCCCCATGCTGTGGTTAAGGAAAGACTTGGCAGTGAAACACCATCCCAGACCATATCCCCAGGCAAGCAGGCACCACGTTTGGAATAACCTGAAGTGTCTTGAACCAGGTAGATGTGTCTGTACTGGACATACTGACTCTCAGAATTGGTTTGTGCTCCACTATTGACACTAGTGAGCATGTGATACAACTAGGTCCTATTGTACATGAACTGATGTACCATTCACAATTTACTGTTTATTTAGCATTCATTCAGAAGCATCCCACAGCACTTTTCAAATTCTAGCTATTACTTCATCTACTACTGAAATATCTCTGGAATGAAAGAGGGCAGCCATTTAGCGCTGACAGCAACACAAAAGAAGGGAAGGAAGCACCAAATCCGATTTAAGCCATAAGGGAAATTTTTAAGTGATGTGAAGTTGGAATATGAATCATGTCCTGTTTTTTATTTAGCAACTGATGTGACATAATACAGTAGAAGGCAATACCAACCCAATATACCATACACTGCTCTGTCATGTCATTCAGTTTTATGAGACAGATGCAGAGGTTTAAGGAGATTGACAATGTCCCGTTGAGCCTCTTAATACTAAGAAGTAGTCTGTCTCTCGTTTCCCTGAAGGAGCAGCTCCAGCAACAGATCACACATGCTACTCTGCACATCGGTATTCCTCATCCAGGAGTAGCACCAGAGTGAAATTTACCAGGTCCCTCAACAGTCTCACTCTGCAGCTGCTGCTCCTATCAGTGCTGCTGGGCAAGTGTTACGAACATGATACTCCCTCTGAGGGAAATTTCAAAAAGCAGAGGGGGATGGGCAAATATGGGATTCCAGCAATCCCATGCTGAATTTAAATGCTTGCAGGAGACATGATTTTGATTCCTGCTCCCAATCCGGTCACCATCTCTTCTGTAGGGTGCTCAGAATTCTCTGGAGACAACGTTCTCAGCCCCAAATGGTAAGGGAAGGCTGCACTTTTCCAACTAATTAAGAAGCGATATTGATAGATATTGAACACAGTGTCTTTCAGCCCCTCTTAAGCAGAAGGTTGGTGGTCATAAAACAGAAACCAGAGGGTGGAAGAGGCTAACACACAGCATTCTGAAGTGTTGTTTGGACTTTAATTACAACAGAAACCACATAATACTGACTGTACACTCAAGTGAACCAACGTTCATATGAATAATTAATCATCGCCTAGTAATCCAGTAATCCTTTAAGCCATTTAACATCAGGTTCAATCCTACTCAGTGGATTTTCAGGGAGTCGGAGGGGCTATGTGATATTGCCACCTTCCCTGATGTCTCTGAACTTATTCAAAGGTCTTAATTTCCTCTCTGTTTTTTATTTTTAAATGTCAGTAGTGCCCTATTTTCCTTCTCTGCCTCCCCCAAGAGTCTGCACTTAACATGAAAAAGGAATTTCACCCCCTCCCAACAAGTGATAGCAAAGTCAGACAGGGGATCCAAAGGATGGAACCCCCCCAGCCCAGTTCCTTCACCTTCCCAATGTAAAACCCACTGGGAAAACAGACACTTTCTATCAAGAATGAAATCTCACTTCATTTAAAAAAAATCCTGATTATAATTTAGTGCTGACAAATAGTACTGGACTGAGAGCATGGGAGACTGTTTATCCTCGGAACAGGTATAGCATGCAGTGCTAGCTTCCCCCACCCAGCCCTACTCAACCCTGACCTGGAGGGACCACCACTGAAGCTGAAAGGGAAGTTTAACTTCACTACTGACTTCTTGGCTTTTCTGCTAAGGGCTTGGCTACACTTGCGAGTTACAGCGCAATAAAGGAGCCCCGGGCGCACTAGCTCACTCCCCGTCCACACTGGCAAGGCACGTAGAGGACTCTGACTCCGCAGCTAGAGCGCTCCTGGTACTCCACCTCGGCGAGAGGAATAATGTTTGCTGCGCCTTGGCTACAACGCACGGGTGTCAGTGTGAACGAGGTGTTGCGTTACTGTGCTCTGATCGGCCTCCAGAAACATCCCATAATCCCCTTAAATCAAGTGGCCATTCTTGTCATTGTTTTGAACTCCAGTAGGAATGCGGAAATGCCCTTTCAAAGCTCCATTTCTGACAGCCGGCATGCAAGCCGTTACTGTGGAATGCTGTGTGAGAGAGAGAGAGGTGTGGGGGAAGGGGAGGTCTGCTGGTGTCTGAACTTACAAGACAGCATGTTGACATGCTCTCAGCCCCCCAAAACCCACTCTCTCCCCCCACATACACACAACACACTCCCTGTCACACTCCACCCCATCCCTCCCCATTTTAAAAGCACGTTGCAGTCACTTGTATGCTGGGATAGCTGCCCATAATGCACCACTCCCAATGCCGCTGCAAGTGCTGCAAATATGGCCACGCCAGTGAGCTTGCAGCTGTCAGTGTGGACAGACTGCAGCGCTTTCCCTACTGCGTGCTACGAAGCCTGTTTTAACTCAAAGTGCTCTACATCTGCAAGTGTAGCCATGCCCTAAGACTGCAAGCAAAGAGGATAATTAGTGATTTTGAGATAGTGGCTGGACAGTGGTCATGTGATAAGTACCTATCCATTGGGATAGGAACTGCCACCACTGACTCATTTCACCTAGATTGCTGCATAGTCTGTTTCAGTCACAACAGACTTGGCTGGATTCAAATTTGCATTCTAAAAGGTAAGTATAAGCCTCTATATCCAATACCCAGCCTCTGAATCATCTCCATCTGCTAGTCAGACACGTCTAAATGATTCCAATACTCTATTCCCACAGGTGAAAATTTAAAATTCTGGGCAGATAACTGGTCTGAGAAGTGCCAGACATGCATCTTGTACATATTTAATTAAAGAGGCTAGGTGATATTGTGGCATCACTTCCTGCATTATGGTAATATCACTGACACGGATAAAGAAAAAAATTATTGTAAAAAATGTAAATGTATCAAAGTGAAGTACACGCAGCGGTTAGAAATTTCCATGAGAAAATGGAAAAAACCTTGCTATACCCCTATATGGCCTGCTGGACTTGCATTTCTCCTCATTAATAAAATGGCTCTCTGGGGAAGTGTTTACTTTGAGATTCCTCCCTTCCCCCAAACACCCATTTTTGGATGTTTCTAAAAAACAGCTGAGCATTCCAGAATGTGGGAGAAAGGAAAATGCACCAAGGAATAAATAGGGGTAATGTCCTATAAAACAACATTTGAATACTGAAGTAGTTTGCTGGGCATGCCCCTTTCCAGGTGAGCTACATCCATGGATGAAAGGTGCTATACAAGAGCAAGGTATTATAGATACCAGCAGAAACCACACCTACAAATAAAAAGGTATGAGCAGTGATGTTTGGTGGGTGGCAAACAACAGATAGGAATCACAATTAAGTAGTTACAGTACCCAGCTGATATCTACTTACTGTATGACCATGTACAAGTTGCAATCTCTGCGCTTCATTTTCACCCTTTGCAAAGTGGAAATAAATACCTATTTTACCTGACAGGGCTGTTGTAAGAATTACGTGTCTATAAAGTACATTGAGAGCCTCAGATGGAGGGACTGTTTGTCATGTGTTTGTACAGCATTGTCTATGACTGGGGCCCTTAGGTGCTACTGCAACATAAAAAAAAATAAGTGATAATAGTAAGGCATGCATGCTAGGTAAGTGCAAAATATTGTTTACCAGCAAGCCTAACTGGGGCACTGGTGGCAGAAACCACTCCTCAGAACATTGCTGTGGCCTATAATAAGCATCTTCTCCAACAGCTACCTGTGCATTTGTGCATCAAGGAGATGAGCTGGATAAGACCTCTGTCAAAAGGCTAGGACCCTCATTCAGACAGGAGCTCTTCCAATAAATTAAGAGACTTTTTAGGAAAGGTGTTGGGATAAAAGTTTGCATACCTCAGGAAGGGAGACAGCTAATTTTGTTGTTCTTATAGAGATTAATTGTATGGATGCTTATCAGTCAAATTCCAATCTGGCAGTGATTAGCCAGGAGAGTGGTGTGGGGGAGAGACATGTCTAATAGGATAAAAAAAGTCTATCCTGTCAAGGATTTGAACAGCATGCTTAGGTAGGAGTAGGAGTCTTTAATTGCGTCTGTTTGTGAAGAGGCTAATGCTCTCAAATGATAATATTGCCTGGGTGGCATTTGCTCCTCTATACGTGTATCTCAGACACCAGGTGGCCAGGGCCCAATGCCCAACTGGACCATGCTCTGTTCAACACACCTCAACTGTGATCCTACAAGTGCCAGTATCTTGTTGGCAGGACTAAGAATACCACAGAAGCAACAAATATTTCAGGCCTGTGGAGAAGCAGAACATTGTGGCCCTCTCACCAGCGAACCTCTCCAACTAAAGAACACCACAGATGGCTCCAAAGGGAGATTCATTCTGTTCTCTGTGAGAAGGCTGGTAGCCAGAAGACAGGACTTTGTAGTTGATGTGAAACAAGGAAAATGGGGAGAGAGGCTCACAGGAGGATTATAATACTGTGCATAGATATTATAGGTTCTCAACATGCTATACACATTCATTAAGGTCTTGTCTACACTGAGCTTTTTTACTCCTGGGGAAATTCTGTGCCACTGCACAAGATTTAGGAATGAAAGTAAGGAATATCATGTCCAGGTAAAACTCCCCCTGCAGTTTAGATAGACAGAATGTAATACTAGAGCTGGAATACTGCCAGAACATCAGCTGAATCCCTCACACTTGCAAAAATTAACTCTTTAATAATCACAAGTGGATAGGACCTTGATTTTGTGTCTTATTCAAAAGACAATTGTTAAGTAAGTGCACAGATTTTGTTTTATGTACTGCAGAGGAGTGAGGGTAATGGAGACTGGAAAAGCACACGTCCGAACTCATAAAGCAACAGCCAGTGTTCTGGATTCCTAACCCCCAAAGGAGGGTGATGATACAGCAGGATGGAAAGCTAGGGGACACAGAGCTTTAGTAAAACAGGAGTTTGGGGATTCGATTAACCAGGATTGGTACTGTATTAAGCATACAGTAGGTTGTCTGGCAGTCCCCAGCACTTAAATGTTTAGTATCCAAGTACTCAGTGCCAAATCAATACCTCCACACATCGCTGCCTTTGGAGAACATGGAGGAGCGGATGACCTCAGGAGCCATCCAGGCATATGTTCCAGCTGCACTCATTTTGGTGGTTTTATGCCATTCTCTGGCCAAGCCGAAATCCGTGATCTTCAATATCTTGTTGCTCAGGTCTCCATTTTCCACCTTCTCAAGTATCAATACTGGAGGGAAGGGGGAAAGGGGAAAATGAAACATGTAAAGTGAGGCTAGGATTTATCCATAAAGATCTCCTCCCCACCAAAGAGAAGCCATTTCCCAAATTTAAGTCTTGCCTTAGCTAATCTCTGCTTCTGAATGCTTTACACATTATCTTGCCTTGTAAAAGAAGTCTCAAACTGTGCCCTCAATCTGATGAAAAACAAAATGTCTAATTAATGAGTCCATTCCCATAATTAACAAACATTAATCGCAGCCAAGACCTGAAAGCAAGGATTTCAGAAGCAGAATTGGCCAAATCCTGAAATCCTTGCTCAGTTTTTACTCAGTCCTTACTAGAACAAAACTGAGGATATAGGGTTATAGCATCATATATGCACTTCTAGGATGCTGGAGATGTTGCCTTTGGTTTTTAATGTATCAGGATACCCAAGGTACAGGTAAATAGGACATAAGAACCATTTGGCGTACCGTGTACTGTTACTCTATGTAAACAATCCTCTGGTAAAGGGAAGTGAACCACTGTAACTTCTAGAAATCCAAAAAAGGGGAGGTGCCTCGTATATAATTTCCTAATTAATCCTTTCTGAGCAAAGCAACTATCGCATCTTTCTCACGAACTGCTAAGAATCTCTTCTAATCAAGGAGAACAACCCCATAAGGGTGGATGTAAACTTATATTTAAAAATACATTAAAATGGAAATGGCCATACGATAAACTCATCTTCAGGTCAGGATTTTCAAAAGTCACAGTGATTTTGGATGCTCAGCACTTCCTGAAAATCAGGCCCCTTTAAACTGCCTCATGTTGGGAACACCAAAATTGAGGCACCCAAAAATCACTAGGCACTTTTGTAAATCTTGGCCAACTGAATAAGTTACATGTGATGTGTCACAATGGAGTGCAGGGAGGGAACAGGGTTGAGGCAGGAGCAAAGAGAGAAACTTAAGTAGTAACAAGACTGCTACCAGTTAAACTGAGCAAACAGATGAAATGTGTTTAACGGTATTACAGTTCTACTCCAGTATGAACTCATATTTAAATCCGCCTTGGCCATTATCTATGGACAGGGCTCAGAGTATGCACAATCTAATGCCAAATCCAGGCATGGAAGTACACTCTAGATTCTTAACTTTTTAAAAATTTACAATTCTAGTTCTTATGGTAGCAACGAAAAACAAAGCCTACCAAATGTAAACCAACATAATGTTGTCTTCCTGAGTTTGTAGACAGCCTGAAATAGCTTAAACAGAAGTCTGAACCACTTCATTCATCTTAATGAGTTAACACTGAAATTTAAAGATGACAATTTAAGTGAAACAGTTAATGTTGACATTGCTGATCATTTTAGCACAAAAATCCAGCTAGTGTGATTATTCTACAATTCAAGACCCCCTTCAACAGCTTCCTAGGTGCCAAGTGGACACTTTCTCATGTGCCAAAACTTTCATCTTCTATTCTAGCAACTTTTAAGATGTAATTATGCATTGTCTGCACAAAAATCTGTAGCATATTTAAAACAAATGGTGCAAACAGCAAAAACTACATTGGATTTAATATCAAAATGAGCACGACAAGGTCTATTGTACTGATTTTATTATTCATTTTCTTACTTAACTTTACAGCACTCCTTTTTTATTTTAAATAAAGCTGCCACAGTTCCTAGTCTGTTGCAGTATGATACAGCAATAAAAGGGGTCTTTGCTACAGAATTAATGTGAGTTTACTATAGAGTACAAGAATCCTTGTCTATAAGAAGCATGATGCCTGTTTCTCCATTGCCTTGCATCTTGTGCTGTCATTTACACCACTACAAAGTGAATACAAAGTGGATTTAAAACACTACCATTCAGCTTTAGTAACACTTTAATGTTAAATGTCCAAGCTTTCTTAGGAGCTAAATATGTAAAACTTAAGTCTGTGTTGTAGAAAAAGATAGGAGAGAGGCTAGAATAAGATGCAAGGAAATAGGCAGGCATATACAGTAACTTTACATCCAAATGCAAACCCTATAAAACAAGGAGCACAATCACCAAATGACCCACCTGTAACTATAGCACATGAGCAGCAGTATCATTAACGGTAACTATATTCAAGGAATGGTGCATAGGAGGAATGCTGGGTTTGTATTACTTAGGATTCACTGCATATGAGATTTTTTGTTCTTGACCCAGAACAAGTATTCATTTGTACAACTGTATCAGCCCAAATAAGGGCACATTTTTGTACTGCAATTTTTTCTGCAGGCTTTAGAATCCCTTCACCTGTGTGGGATTGGTTGGCTCAAGAAGTTAGTAATGGGATATTGTGCCTTATATGGCTCCTGTAGACTACAGGTTTATACAGAATGAGGTTGGCTCTGATTGAAAGTAATCACAATCAGACAGCTTTTCATTTATGTAGGATAAATAAATTGGAGCTCTCAATCTAGTTCCAGTGGATAGGTGTCCATACAAAAAGTCTTTGCGCACAATCTCAGACTGGCAGACTAAGAGCCATGAAGAATGGCCTCTCGGGGAGTTGGGGAGAGGGGCATTAGTTCAGGGTTGAGACATGGTGGCCAGGCAGCATGGAAAACAGAATTTCTAAACCTTATGAAGGCAACAGTAACTTCTGCGGTGTAACTTGTCAGCTGAGGAAAATAATATGATGGCCATTTCCTCCAACAGCTGGATCAACAGAAGCCACATTTACTGTATGGATGCGTGGTTGGGGTGTGGGGTGGGGGAGAATCAGACTTTTAAATGTATAGTCACAGGGCATCTGTATTATGACTGAAGCCTAGGAAAACCATACTTGGGAGAATCTAAGGGCTTGGCTACACTTGTGAGTTAGCGCGCAATAAAGAAGCCCCATGCGCACTAGCTCACTCCCCGTCCACACTGGCAAGGCACGTAGAGCGCTCTGACTCCACAGCTAGAGCGCTCCTGGTACTCCACCTCAGCGAGAGGAATAACGTTTGCTGCGCCTTGGCTACAACGCACGGGCGTCAGTGTGAACGAGGTGTTGCATTACTGCGCTCTGATCAGCCTCCAGAAACGTCTCATAATCCCCTTAAATCTTGTCATTGTTTTGAACTCCTGTAGGAATGCGGAAATGCCCTTTCAAAGCTCCGTTTCTGACAGCCGGCATGCAAGCCATTACTGTGGAATGGGGTGAGAGAGAGAGAGAGGGAGGAGGGAGAGGGAGGTCTGCTGCTGTCTGAACTTACAAAACAGCATGCTGACATGCTCTCAGCCCCCCAAAACCCACTCTCTCTCCCCCAATATACACACACAACACACTCCCTGTCACACTCCACCCCACCCCCCCATTTGAAAAGCACATATCCCAGCATGCAAGTGGCTGCAATCTACCACAATGCACTGCTCTCTGTGGCCGTTGCAAGATCTGCTAATGTGGCCACGCCAGTGAGCTTGCAGCTGTCAGTGTGGACAGATTACAGCACTTTCCCTACTGTGCGCTACAAAGGCTGGTTTAACTCAAAGCGCTCTACATCTGCAAGTGTAGCCATGCCCTAAGATTTCCACACCACCACCAAGTCGAGCTGGTGTGGTTCTCCAGGCTTGAGGGCTGCACACAGTAGCCAGTCTATAAATCACCATGGGTGGGGAACTGTGTGTTCAGTTTATCCTGCTCTCCCAGCCCAACAGTAAAGGCAGCTTACAAGGCCATCTGCAACTGGGGGGAGGTATACTTACTGCCAATCAAGCACCAGGAATAAGCTTACTCCAAGTGCACTGAGAGTCATGGCATTAGCAGAAAAACAGGCTAAAACTCCCTAAAAACTGCTTCTGTATTATTAGCTGACAGCATGGTTAGAGGCAGAGCATCAACACTCCGGATCTTTGGAGCTACTCATTACCCCAATCAAGCACAGATTCATCAATTAATAGTGCATTCTCCACAGACTGGTCCAGCTCCTGAGTAGAGATCAAGGCAATCCTAGTAATTAAAGAGACTTTTCAGACCTCTGCCTAAAAACACAGCTCTTTTCTGAAGACAGGAAAAACTTCCTTTTATATTCCACAGAGATACAAGAAGTCTCAACTGCTAGGCTGGTATTCATGTGGGAAAACAGTGTGTTAAGTATCAAGTGCTTGGGTTGGGTGGAGGAGTCCTTCAATTATTCCAAAGTTTAAACTTAAAGCAGGTGCTTAACCTCATTGACCCTCTCCCATAGGAATACAATAAAAACTAAGGCAAAAGCTAAAAGTAACTTTTCAAGCACCCTAAGCCACAGGCACCCCTTCACCATTTAAGAAATCTTCAATTTGGGGTTTTTTTGTTGTGGATTTTATTTATGGCACTTTCCTCCAGTCCCCAATAGTACCCAATCCTGGGTATTTGCTACCAAAAAGACACTGATGGAAGAAGGTAGCTTGGAGATGGAATTTTGTCTGCTGCCTAACTAACCAAATGAATACATACATCTTCCATTGTTTCTCTACTCAATTCAGTGACTCGGAGCAGGGAAGAGATCCTAACTGAACTATAAAAAGGTTTTGAGGACAGCTAGTCAGGAATAAAATTTCCATTTTGCAGGAAATTCTGACATTTAAAAAAAATTAAAAAAAAAAAAATAAAAAACCCACACCAAAACTCCAACTGAACAAAAAGCCAAAATTTTGAGATTTCAAAAACACCCAACCCCAGAAAACTCAGATTTCTGATTCAGGACCATCAAAACTCTCATTTCAACTTTATCAATTTGATTCATTTTGTTTAGATTTTTATAATATTTGTAGGATGATACATTCGATTTTTATGTCTCTTATAGTTAATATAATATAAAAGTCAAAGCAAAACATTGACGACCCCCCCCAATTTTTGTCAAAAATCGACATTTTTGTGAAACATTTCAATTTTGACAAAAGTGCATTTTTCTACAGAATGGTGTTCAAGTTTTTTTGACCAGCTCTGGTTGTGGGTGTATGGGAGCCAGCGAATGACCTCCTAATTTTTGGTACTTTAGAACAGGGGTGGGCAAACTACGGCCCACGG